GCATTAGAGAATTATAATAACGGGATTTGAAGGTAGGAAAAAAGAATAAAAAGAAGGCATTAAGGCATTTAAGAGAGCAGGGAAAATAACAATAGGATTGGGAATTGATAAGGAATAGGGTTAACCCGGAGTTAAGGCGGCAAATCGGGGTTTGAGATATTTTTTAATAGAATATAGCGAACATTTTAGGGTATTAGGCGATTTAAAAATATACAACGGAAGTGGAAGTATTTAGGAAGTATCAGAGAACAAAAAAGAAAGGGCCAATGATAAGGACTCTAGGATTTACTAATATCAACAACAAAAACTGTGCAGATAATTTATTATATAAAAGCTTGCGAATATTTATTTATGCATGTAACTAAATAGGCATGAAAGCAGAACTCTCCTATAGAACTCGTGAGAAGATCCATAAAATGGTGGATGATTCCAAGTGATAAATTTTGAATAAAATAGAAGGTTATTGTAATAAAAAATGCCAAAATCATGACTAAATTCAGAATCAGTAATAAGGTTGTTAATATTTGGAGATTGAATGGGAATTTGATAATCGTCAATAGCACAAGGTCATCAGGTAAAAATTGCATTTGATAGGCAAATTGCAATTTTAATTCTGTCACATAAGGACCACGAGGTGTGTTCAACACCTAAATCTATAATGTAGGTCAAAGTTTGCGGTGGATTAGGTCGAATAATCTGATATTTAATTCCATAATTTTTGGAGTTTTTCATGAAAAATAAATCAAGGTGAAATAATTTCGGAAATTTAAAAATATTATCTAATTTAATAATTATATTTAAAAAAATTTTGTTATAATTAAATCAAGTCATGAATTATAAAAATTCTTCGCTTATTTCCATCGATAGCGAAGAATTCGAAAAGGTTCATTTATTTATATTGTGGTAAAATGGATCGCCATCATTCATCGTGACAGTTTTGCTAGAAATACTGGAAATATAATTTTTATGGATGGAGTGAATTGATCGACTTGACGGTCCATCCATACTCCTTCCTATCGCTAGATGGCTCCATAGCGAAATTTACCGGGTCCAGCAAGCCAGCGAAGTCGCCAAGTATAATAAGAAAATAAGAAAAAGAGAAAATTAGTTAACTGGAAGGAATTAAAATGGAAATTTTTTACTCGATTATTTAAAATAAGAATTTTTTTCCATCGAATTTAAAAAGTCTATATAGCATTCCAGTGAATCTCATGAGATTTCATCCATTAAAACCAACTTCAAATTGAATTGATGAAGTTGAAAAATAAACGATAAATGTTGAAATTCGTCCACATTATTGCTGTGGAAAATAAATACAAACCTATAAGTATTTGGAAAATTTTCTATAAATATTTTCGATAAATAATAAGCAAAAGCTTAAGGAGAAATGTTGAAATTTAATAGGCATTTAACATTCCAAAACTTAACATTGTTTATCGATGCGTTAATGCTTGTCGCAGAATTTCTTATCGAAATGTCGTTTTAATTCCCATTTGATATTTCAAATTTATTCTTATTTAATTTATTAAGTTTACTAAAAACCAATATATTTCTTGTAATTTGCATGCATTTATGCGAAATATGCAAATAGAAGTCTTCACAGTTATATCAATTAATATCATTTGACAGTTCTCGCAAGGAAAGGAATGGTGATAAGAAATTATCACAGAGATTTTATATTTCATATTAAATAATTTGGTGGATTACCTATGATATATTAATATAGAATTTATTTTAATTAATTAGTTGACGCTTCACCATTTCTGGTTAGACCATTAGCATGATTAAAATTTTTGAGTCTCACTTAGTGAACCTCAACCAACCTCAGCCGAATAGAATTCTATTACATATATTAAAAATAAATCTATTTTTGCAAGTAGAATTAATCTCATTATATTTCAGCAAATAAAAACTAATTTCACATAGGAAAAAAATGTTAATGTTTAAATCTGATTTTAGACAATGGATTTTTCGATAGCGAATTCCAATATTTACTTACTTCAGTACAATACAGTAACCAAAAGTAAGTAAAGTAATACAGTAGAATACAATAGATAAATTGTAATTGTGTTAGAATTGTACAAATAATAATTAATAAATAATAAATAATATTTAAAAAAAAATTAATAAAAAAAAGTGGATAGGAATAATTCCTTAATAATACAACGATATTGCTCCGAAAAATTTTTTAGCAATTATGCTAATAAGTTTTCGGCCATAAATCGTTTCCATGGGAAGTTTTATTCAAAACTAGCAATTTATTATTTATGCATTCAGTTTTGCAATATATTTATTTGCAAATCCAAATTGTTCGTAAATTTTATTTTCATGCGTACATTTCAATGCACGTGAACAATGCAAATTTCTTAATTTTTATTAAAAAACCATTTTTTCTTTCGATATTTTCCAGCAATTTTCTAAATAAACCAATCGTTTTATGTTTTTTCACCCTTTTATTTTTTTTTTAATAAAAAAATTTAATACTAATTAACGAATTATTTTCAGGCAATTAAGGAAAAAACAACCGCAGTTCATCATTTTTTCGTTTATAATAATTTTATTGCCCATTTCAAAAAATTATGCTTTTTTGAATTTGTACTTTGTCTTCTTGCTTAATCCACTGAACCACTGTAAACCACTGCAAAGGTCCTATAATCTTTTCCACATCTTCAAAACCCTTTTCCATTGTTCTGTCAAACCGTAGCGTATTTTTTTATTAATACGGCATGATAACATTTTTCTAGTCATATTTTCTTCTTTTTCTAACATTTTCTCACCATTACTGACAATCACCCTGTGATTAGGCTGGCTTCACTGGCTGAGAGGGGAAGAGTTTTCCATGCGGTCTGATGATCGTCGACAGTAATAGAAGCCATTCCTTTTTTCACCGACTAAGTCTATATATTGCTGGTCCATCTATCTTTTCGGACCGTATCAGTCCAGGTCTTGATTGGCCCACCTCGCTTTTGACGCCAACCATCACAGAGTTTAGAAGTAATGAAATGTGTCAACAAAATGTACTTTAGACAAGAGTGGTCCAAGGCAGATGACTTCTAATGTACTTCTTTCCCTTATTTACTATATTTACTCTGTCAGACCCCACTACAGTACCTTAAAATGCTATAAACTTCCGTCGTCTTCTTTACAACCCATTAATGCATGTGGAAAATTGCTTACGGCTTTCCATGTTGCAGCTCTTCGATATATTATATTTTAAAACTTATATTTATTGAGAAAACTTCCTCAATCCCACCAAATATCAATAAAATCGACTTCGCTGTACTTTTTCTGCCATAACCCATTGGGAGCATCATTGCTGCTTTAATCCTTCCAATAATCATCGCTATTTTATTCTTTTGATGCATGTCGCGTGAATTTTTATCATTTACATGATTACAAATTATATATAAGATTTCAAAAATTAGCACTGTGGTGACTAAAAAGATACCGAAGGACCGAAGAAGGAACTCGCTTTTTTGGAAACCATAAACAGATATTGGGTAGGTTCGAGAATAAAACAGTATGACTCGACATTTTCATAAGGAAACATAATAATAATATAATAAATTTGAAGAAATATCATACAATATGCCTATTAACTATTTTGAGGTTTGATATTTTCCTATATATTGCAGCATTTCAGATTGGTTTTAGCGCATACATTTTTATAAATGCTGATAAATACTTTTGTGTTCATTTAATAATTTCTCATTATCAATTTTATCTTTTCTGGTGCTTTTATTAAATGATTTATGCATCCATAATGCATAAAATATATTTTATTTATTGAAATTTTTCCTGTTCTTTCTGATAAATAAATCGCTCATAATGTTAAAGATTTTAGAATATTATTAGCAAAATTCAAATATTCAAAATTAAATGAAATAAATAAAATAAAAATAACATTAAAATTTTCTTTAATTGAATATAAGCCATACAATATGATTCGGCTTTTTTCTCGATTATACAAAATATTTGCTTAAATGCTAAATTGAAAAAATTCAGATATTTGAGAATTATGAAATTGTAATACAAATACAATAATTTAATATAAATTGAACAATTGAACAACTGAACAAAATTAATAAAAAGGTAAATTTGATTTGTTTCATTCATTTTTTCATTCGATTTATTAATTTAATAAATAAAAATAATTAAAATAATTATAATTTTAATTAAAATAATTAAAATTGCCCAATAAAATAATAAATAAATCCATAAAAATTAATTTGATAAATGAATAAAATAAACACTACCGAAATTTTATTAATTATTTTAATTTATTTATTTAATTTAAATTAATTTAATTAATTTAATTTAATTAATTATACTAATATTTGTTTTCAGTTATTACAAATCATTTTGTATAAATTTCATGAATTCAGCGAGTTCCATGAAACAAATTTTCCGTAGTTCTTTAGGCGTTTTATCAGTTAACTACTTCTATAGTACTTGAAGAGAATTCTTCGAAATTAGATAAATAATAAAATAAAACAACTGGTCTATCTTCCTTTTATTTTTTAATTTGTCCCTTATACTTCACCAGTAAAGTAGTCATAAAAACAATAATCTCCATACTGAGATATATTAATTTCCTTCTAATGGATTTAATGAAATAATCGCACAGCCTAAGCACATACTTTGGGCTGTGATGGACACTCATTTATACCTCCATCTCTAAATGAGAAAATCCTCTATTTGACCAGTGTAGACACCTAAATTATGAGTGCATGATTAAAAGAAAAGCACAAAAGAAAGAATAAACTTATTATTAGATCCTAAATAATGGAAACATAAGTGATAGATTTTGGGAAGTTTTTGCATATTCAATTTCGCAATTTTTCCAATTCACAAGAAAAAAGCAATATATGCAACAGCTGTAAAAAAATAAATAAAATACCATCATACATCATAAATAACGGATAATTACGATCTTCAACTCTAAAGCTATCACCGCTTCAAAAAACCTTTCAGACCAATCAAAATAATGCAAATTTGAATTAATGAGAAGCACCACGTTTCCTAAAAACATCATCTTTCTGCTGCCTCGAAAAATTCAACATTGTCATAATTGCCTGTAAATTTTTGAAAGTGAAGAAGAAGATATAAGCGTAATATATGCATTTTCTACAGTACCAGTCTATGGCGCTTTACCTAACTGGTATTACTCAGTCAGTATATCGATATTATTGCCGAATGGGTAACCCGGTGTTGAAGTAAAAGTAGAACGATAGTTCCAGCTATAACCCAGCTAAGAACCATCACCATCAAATTACAGCACCATCGAAATTTAATTATTTTACAAAACGAATAAAAAAAACAAGATCTTTAGTGTTGGAAATAAACCATTAAAAAAAACCTGCAAATGCTCTCTAGAATCTCCTTTATTCAGAAGATAGTAATAAAATGCGTCATGAAGGAACCTCAAAACGATTCGGTCTTCAGTCATCTCGTCTAGTACCTTGGTCTGAAAAATATTCAGCATATTATCATATGTCAAACATTTTGTTAATCTCTATCCTATAAAATAATTAAAATAGACAGCTTCAAGTGAAACCGACCACAGAAAGCAATACCTCTTGAACATCGTGTTCAGCTGCTTCTCTACCTTTCTTAAACATCACTAAATACATTTCTTGACGTTCTTTTTCCATATCGTCCATTTTTTTAGCGAATATTTCATTTTGTGTATTAAGAAATGATAACCGTGTTTCATACGAAGTTCTTTGTTGCAACTGAAATTTTCAATAAAAAAAAGATAAATTAAGAGAAAATTAAATCCAAAGTATAAATAAAATATTTCCTTGTAAAAAATTATAAAAAATTGATAAAAAAGATACATTTTCATTGATTAATTTCGTATTTTCGGCTTTAATGGCTTCCATCTCTTCAGTTAATTTCTTGGTAGCAAGATCATCTTTTAATTGGCGATCCTCAAGAGTAGATTTAAGTATTTTCTGAAAAACGTGTAAATTTCAAACCATTCGAAATTAATGCTAGAAAATTAAAAAATATATCCTTTTAGCATTATTTCTATTAGCTCCACTGACTATTATCGACAAGAATTTTTCTTCGAGTAGCCATAGAAGGATAGAGGGGTCCTTTTATATGAAATTGGGTTGATGCAAGCAGCAGCTTTCCTATAGCACCACAGAAGTATCATTCAATGCAACCACCGTGCTGTGAAGAAAATGGATAAAAAATTATAAAAAAGGACGAAATAACGATCTATTCTTCGATAATCGGTTAACGCAAACAAAAAATTTCACCAAATTTGATTGAGCCTTCTCAAGTTCAACAGTTAATTTTTCATTCCTTTCTGATGCTTCTTTTTTAGACTTTGAATATTCATCATTAACCATTTGCAATTCTTTTTTAATTCGATCCATTTCCTCACTATCACGTGGAAATTTCTTAAAAGAAAGGATTATTTTATTAGACCGATTCAAAGAGAACTTATCAATCATTTTAACAAACTTTCTTTTTTAAGAGCCCTCACCATTACTGGCTAAACTCGCTCTCCTGGCTTATCGCACCGGACAAATATGCCAAGGAATCCCTTGATGATAGAAATATAAGTTTTAACAACCTACTTGCTATTGTTATCCTTTTGGAAAATTCTGGAAAGATTCTTGAGAAAAACTGTAAATCTTACTTCCATTTGACTTTTTAACCAATCCATTTCTCGTTTCAGAGCAGCGATTTGTGATTTTGCAGCTTCTTTAATAATTTCATTATGTTCTTGTCTGGATTCTTCCTCCATATTCAACACTATCTTCTGTGGCAGCCGATGTGGTGATCTTATATCTCGTCTCCTTTCACTTAAAGGCAATCTTATAAATTTTTTTGAACTGCTTGTCTTTTTTTTAAGAGCTTATTCACCACTACTGGTTACTCACTTCGCTGACTTGTTAAACAAATATACTTTTGAGGAGTTCTTTGATAGAAGTAAGACAGAAGAGTCACTCGAACTGCTTGCCTTGCTCACAAGAAATTTAACTCAGTTCTTTTTTTTCTGACAATCCGTTATTTAAATTATAACAATGAACAAAGATATGTACTTACTGCCGTTCTGCATACAAATCGGGCTCGCTAATAGAAGTGAGATCATTCAAAGACCAAAAAGAGGTACAGGCAGCCGTTATGAATGTCGTCGTAGAATCACAACGATCGCTAGTTCCAGAAACTCTTGATCGATTTAATTTAGTCTAAAAAATTTGAGAATCATGATAAAAAATTTTGGAAATTATTTACCACAAACCACAAAATAATCCTCATTTGAAAATGGAACTCACATCGCGCACACTTCGTCGATCACTGCTGGATGTACCGACGGTAGGAGATTTAGGAGATTTAGTTTTTTGAATAGGAGTTAAGAAAACAGAACCGCGCTCGCGACGAGTTGAAAGTTCAGCAAGTTGACACTGAGCTAATCCGAGTTCACCTTTTATCATGATTAATTGAACTCGAAGTTCACGGCGTTCCGCATCGCATAATCTATATTCGTTTCGCATTCGATTCAATTCACGGAACATCGTACCAGCTTTTTCTTTCCATCTAAAATATATCTTCAAATATTTCTTCGCAAACAAAAACATTAAAAGTACGAAAATTGCGCAGCAGCAAAACCTCCTCATTATGAACATTTGAGCCAAAAAAATATTTTCTACGACTGATCATATCTTCAAGCGATTTTCTAGAGAATCAGCCATAGCCATAATATTCAAAGCATCCATCCAAATTCGCTTGTTGAAAAAGAATAGAAGTTCTAACAATAAATAAAAGATAAAATGAAGATAAGGAGAAGAACATTAATGATTAATAACTCTTAAATTAGCGAATTAAATAATAATACTTTACCTTAAATGTTCATCCAGATCAACTGTTCCGCGTCCAATTTCAACAAAGCTACGACTTCGCTGTAAACGGCCATTCTGAAGACGATGTGTAACCTCGGAACGTGGTTCACGTTTATATAACTCAAGTTCACGACAAGCATCTTGAAAATCAATTGTAATCCTATCCAATTGCTCATGTAAAGAATCTCGTTCATCTTTTAATCGTTTTAAAGAACGTCGCAGACGTTCAGTATTATCGCTTTCTAGTGATGAAACACTTCCTTCCTATAAATTAGCACATATTTTTATAGCATGGAAAAATTATAAACCATTGCTATCTTTTATTTCAAGCATACTATTAAGCATATAAATTTATTCATACTGATAAACCAAGAATAAAAATAAATTTTCCCGAAATGTGAAATACTTACTTTTACATCAAATTTAACACCTTGAAATCGTTGTTCAGATTTTCTTTCACCCATTGAATTATCGATTTCAGTTAATATATTCTCAAGATCAATTCGAACCTTTTAAAGAAAAAATGCTCTAGTTTCAAAACAGAAAAAATTTATGGAAAAGATTTAAAAGAGAAAACCTGCAAAAAACTAGCGAACTAATTCTTAGTACTATTCTACTGCGTTTTACTACTGATTCTATATAATATAGGCTATTCTTTATTAGCGCATTCTTTTTGACAAAATATGAAGTTTTTGCCAGGGAATCAATTAGAAGTGAAGTTTCTACTCGCCTTTTTTAATAACAGGTTTACTCCTGCTCTAAGCGGAAAATTAAAGAATTTATGCTTTTATGCAGATCGAAGCAACCATGTCACTCGATTATCTCTACCTCGGCCATAAGTTACACTGAATGCTAAATAATATTTGCTGGTTAATTAAGTTAATTTTAATTCAATAAATCTAATTTAATCGATTTGATTTTATCATAGAAGTATTTTTAATTCTTTTAGTCCAATTTTTCTCTGCTTTTCAAACATGAAAAGCTATAGTAAAAATAATTTGAAAATATTGAATTTATTTCTAATACAAAAAGATTTTCAACAAACCTGATTAATTTCATCAGCAATATCACTAAAATTCGTTGATAATTCACTGCCGTATGAAGTTAAATTTTCAACGTTCGATGATGAAACATTATTGACCGTTGATGCAGTTCGTTGAATTGAAGTTTCAATTTTTTGGCGAAAAATATTTAATTCTTGAGTTAGTTGAGAATTAGCTCGTGCTAGAACCGAATTTCGTTCTCGGAGTATATTTACAGTATCGTATGAAAGACGAGAATTTTTGATTATTTCAGGCACAGAAAGACATCTGTAAATCATAATTTATTTTGATAAAATAATTAAATGAAGTTAAAAGACAAAACAGAAAAAACGAAGAATTCACCACCAACCAGTTCAATACAAATCAGTGCATTTCTCAAACTAATAGAATGCAATTTAAAAAATATAACCGATCGAGAGAGAAAGTGGTGATTACTTTACACAATATATTACTTAACAATAAAATTAAACTCATTTTAAATGAATTATAGAAACCAATTGTACTTTTAAATTTTACATTTAAAGTGCTTTAATCAAAATGCTTTACAGCTCATTCAAAAACTGAAATTTAATAAAGCCATGCCAAAAGTAAGACGGTACTTCGACTAGGTGGTGTTAGTTTGACTATTATTGCTTGATAGATCGCTAAAAGTAGATTTGGACAGCTATTAGGGACTCAACTGTGCTTCTTTAATGAACAACCAACCGGAAATGGGGAAAAGTAGAAACTATTTTTTCTAAAATCACTAAAGCTAATGCAGTATTCTAAGGATGCATACACTGATTACGTTTTTTAACTCTTTAACGAAGAATGAAGAGAAAGAAAAAAATTGGAAATTGGGCTATGATCGGAACTGACCTTTTAAATTTGGTCCTTTTTGCATTATTCGGGTGTTTTGCGTTCTCATCGATCGTTGCTGCTGCTGATTGCAGTGAAATATCAGCTTTATCAAGAATACTAAAATGAATTTAATTTTAACTTGAAATTAATGGAATTTTTGTTATAACCAATTAAGCCAGTAATTTTTTTTTAAAAAAACCTATAATACAAATATTGAAAAAAACACGAAGAATGAGAAATTAAAGAAAAATTCTTTGGTTGAAATCATAGAATGGATTTAATCTTGGACTTGACAAGCTCAGGCCAAGATTTAAATTCCAAGAATTGAAACCAGGGGCCAAAAAATGAGACTGATTCATTGATTGGAACTAATCTTAAGCGCAAGTGAGATTTAAAAACTGAAGAAATTTTTAAAACACAAGTGACTGGAGAGACTAATTAATTTTTAAATTTAAATTTTTAGATGAGGTTTTGATTTTTGAAATTGCAAGAGATAATTAAGAAAAAGGGAATATCGGAGTGAAAATCTGAAGAAGATGGATCCAGCAAAAAATGAGTCCAAAAATACACGATGCTTACTTTTGAAAACCAAGAAAAAACTTGCGATAAATCAAGTCAGTTGCATTTTAAACAATAATACTGGTTACTGATAGTAAAAATAGGCTATATATGCTATAGTTCTAAGGTAAATAAATGAAAGATTTGCATTAGATTCATATTTTGTGGTGAACAAAAGCATCGATACGGCCCTGCTTTATTTTATTTTCCTTTTATTCCTTTCGCGTTAGTAAATCGGTTATAAAAAGTAAAATCTGGTTGACCTGCAGAGGATATAACTCTATCCAAAATGATCAGCTAGAGAAGGCAGAAAAATCAGACTCATAACAAAAGCATACCTGGTTTGATTTTTCGCTGAATTATCAACCAACAATTCAGGTCCATTAGTAGGCATATCACTAATAATTTTATCACGTTCTTTCTTTTCCATTTCCAACATTTCTATTCTGTTCTTTAATTGAAACCGTTCAGCTTCGTATTGACCAATTTCCTGAGGATCTCTCGCTTTTCATGTTTCGAGAAAAAAATTTTTTTTCGAGTAAAGTACTTCCAAAATTTTATTTCTCCATAACAAAAAAGCAACAAGCATTATGGTGAAATGTCAATGTCAACAATTGATAATATTTTCCATAGTTTATCAGAAAAAAAAAATATTTCAGAAATATTCACCTGATCAAGTTCATTTTTGAGATTATCAAATTCACTGATAAGTTGCGCGATTTGATTCTTTTGCGATGATAGAAGATTATTTTTTTCGTCATCACTTTGCCTCAATCGTGTTAATAATGCCAAATTATTATCTTCAAGTTCATCAATTTTTGCTTTTAAGATTGATAATGTATCGCCTTTACCTGAATTTTTTTCTTTGATTTCGCTTTCTTCAGGTGCTTTTATTAAAGGGGTTGTCACTGCTCGAGATAACCGAGTCGTTACCTGAATTACCTTTGTAAAAATAAATTGAAAATTATTCAAAATAGAATTTTCGTTTTAATAAATAGATTGCACTCTTTAAATAATTAAAAGTAAGCTACAATTTACAATGAGCTGAATCCTTGCACATAACCAATTTCGCAACTTGAAAAAATTATAATTATACCAACCGAGGCAGAATTCTATGCAAACGATAACCATAGCTTTTTACTTTATCAAATATTTTTAAAACTGAGAAAATTAAACAATTACATGAACTTGCGCGTTATCGATAAGTTTTTGCTGCAAGATTTCCACTTGATGTCGAGTTGTTAGCAATTCGCCTTGACACAATTTTAACCTTTCTTCGGATTCATCAAAAAGATCACCTTTTTCGATATCCGTCATTTTATTGCGGGAATTCGGTCGACATGCAACATATTTACTAGCCACACGTGGATGTGCATCAATTTCAACGTCACGCGTACGTCGATTTATCTAGTTAGAATGAGAATTATTAAAACTATATGATAATAAAAAAGCAATATCGTAACGATCACAAAAAAAAATTATAAATAAAAGTGAAGATTAAACAACAAATTAAAAATGAATAAATAAAAAAAACAACCATTTTACGAATATCAAGCTTATCAATTCACAGATTCTAATTATTTCCAATTATTTAATAAAAATAATTTACTTGGTTAGTTAGAAGTGAAACATGATCAATGCTTGATGTTAAGCGACGAGCCATATCAGCTTTCTCAATATCTGTTTTCAAACGAAGTTCACTAAGTTCACGTTCTAATGCTGTCTTCTCTTTCTGAAATTAATGATAATTCTTAAAACAATTTTTCAATCAAGAATACAAATGGTAAATTTTAATTAATTCAACGAAATATCGAATAATAGTCGGAAAGAAATTCAGATAAGGTAGTTGGCTTGGAAATGCGCTCATCCTAGAATCCAACAACTAGTAAAAATAGTTATTTATGCAAGCCAAAAATAGCGCCAGAAATGATGCATAGGGAGAAAATGGAACTTCCGCCATAGAAAAATTGCATAAATAATTAAAAAAGAGATTAATGAGCAACTTACGATTAAATTTTCTTTAAAAATATTAGCACAGGAAATTTTATCAGCCCAATAAGAACTTTGCTCGCGATATTTCTTTAACGATTCAGTTAAAGTGGCTTCAAGACCATTTTCATATTCTTCTTTGGTACTTTGTAATTTCAATTCGAGTAGTCCTCGTTCCTTAAATATTTTTACATAACGTCCACTTATTAATCGATGATGATAGAAATCTACAAAGAAGAAAAGGAAAATTTAGTGAAAAAAGTAATTATTACCTGATGTAAACGTTCAATTTCGAATTCAAGTAGAGGAACACGTTCAGCTATGCGACTAAGTTCCAGAATTTTAGACTGAAACTCTTCACGATTTTTTTCGTATTGTTCGTAACTTCTTATAGCTTCTTTATCCGATTCATTCAGTTGATTTGTTAATGATTGAACAAGTGATGTTTTCATTTCCAAATTCTTTTCGATTTCACCAAAACGTTCATTCATGTCGATATTTTTCGATGAAAATTCCAATTTGAGTTCCTAAAAAAATTTCCTGTGATTTAGGATGTAGCATGGATTTCAATGAATTCTCATTCCGCGCGATGCTGAGATTTACTACAGCTAAAGCCTTTGAAAATCCGAGTAGTGCTTTGGAGACTCACAATACTTCTGCCGCCAAATGACTATCTGGCAAAATTCATCTACTCCAAGATGGAAGCGGAGCGAACTTTATCGAAAGTGACGAGCTCACTTAGAAAAAAATAATTCAAAATGGATCAGACCAAAAAATTATTGTTTATAGCCTAATTCTTTTATTATTAGTGAAAAAAAGTAAAAAAAATTGAAAAATCAAGAAACCAAAAATTAGCAACCATAAGAAAAAAGTACTCACCTTAATTTTATCATGCAAATTCATGAATTCAGCTTCAGTATGTCGAAGAGCATCAGATGTTAAGTCAGTTTGTACTCGTTTCGAAAGATTTACCACATAACGAGGATCTGAGAAACCATGTCTCCAATCACCCATAAATTCGTCCGTAACCACGAGATTATTATCAAGAATAATATTTCGATAAGTTTGATGCCGTTCTTCAAGATAACATATTGCCTTATTCTTCGTTGAAATTTCGCTCTAAAATAAATTGTTGGAATCAAATAATCCGCAATGTTAGTGAAAAATAGTAAAAAAACTAAAAAAAACGTAGACCTGCAACCTAATAAGGCTCATATTAGCAGCTTGCGCTTCGGCAGTTTTTTCCTCAATTTCCTTCGCCATTTCCTCCATCAATGATGAATTTCGCTCATTTTCACTTTCAAGAGTTTGTATTGTATTCCTTAATAAAAGCAAGCCTTCATCGTATTCGCTTATACGTGCTTTCTGTTCATCGACCTAAATAAATGATAAAGGAATGTTTATACTACGTAATTTGACAATTAGATGACCAACCACGATAAAATACTTTATTTTATTTGGTTTCTATTTTAAAAAAATATTTCATACAAATTATTGATTAATTAATTTAATAATTTAATAATAATAATAACAAACTTATTAAAAATGAACTTATATGGTCAAATTGTTGATGTAAATTGTACCTTTTGGCTGAACTGATTTTAAAAAACTGGAATAACTTTCAGCTTTTAGTCAAACGTTTAGTTTGATTATTTTTTTGCAATACTCAAATCGGATTAAAGTGAAGTGATAATAAATTGATATAAACAAAAGAATACTTGCTCTAAAAGTCGACAATTTTCATAAATAAGCTCTTTTTTACGATCCGTACATAGCGGAGAAAAACAATCAGTTGATGAGAATTGATGACTACTCGTTGACATAATATTTACATGGGTTTCAATACCCGAGTCATCCATCGTTGTAGGCTTTTCCGATTCTCTAAGAAAAGAAATATTATGAGAAAAGTTCCCTATAAATTATTTTTGAATTATTTTTTAGAATACCATAATTCCTCTTACTTTTGTTTATTAACCCGTAAATTAATAAAGATGCCATACTTAGGATTTTATTACAAATAAAAAGTTTGGTTCTGTTAAGAGATAGGAGTTAAACCCATATTGCATTCGTTTCGCCGAAGCTTGGAAAATAGGTTTCACCGAAACTAATTTATATTAAAACTAACTGAGTGGCTTTAAGTCGTTCACATTCATTTTTATAAATAAGTAATTCAGCTTCTAAGTTATTTTGTTGCGATTTGATTATTTGATCCTTCAATACAATTTCGAGTTGGGCTGCTTTATTTCTCCAAATGAATGCTTCATTTTGATATGCCTAAAAACTAACCAATAATATCAATATCAAATTTTAACAAATATCAATAAAAATTTTCTTCAAAATTAACATTTAGAAATGCTTGATATACCTGAAGTTGATGCAAAATTTCATTGGGAATCTGATAAATTTTATCAGGCTGAGGTGAGGTAACTGGTGAATATATAAAATTGTGAGGAGGATCCGGATGTGCTGAACATGGTGTTGGTACATCTGGTGTCATTTCCATTATTTCAGTCATTGTTTCTTTCTCCATTGATGCTAATTTTTTTCCATGAATTTCATTTACCATTGCTTTATATTTCGCTGCTTCATTACGAGATTCAACAGCTTCTTGTATAAGTTGTGTTATACGAATCTATTAAAATTTAAAAATAAACTAACAACTAATTATTAAGAAGGTCTAATAACAATTTTCATCTTATCAAGACTTTATCAAAACGCATTTTCGTAAGACTATTATCGTAACATTTTCATATTGCAAATTCGGCAATCGACCATAGTCGAACAACTTAATTGCATTTTGCTAACAGGTGAACCAGGATAGGTATAAAAAAAGAAAAGCAGTCAGATTTGGATCTCTCTATTTGCAATCGGATGCTCTGCCATCATAAATGGGAATAAAAGCACAATGACTGTTACTTAGAGTATCATTTCGATCACCAAGGTTTAGAATGGTAAGAAATAAAAGTAAACTAATTGATGGTAGTGAAAACCCACCTTTATATACAAATCTATCCCTAATTGAATCTTTGCTTTCTCCTAAAAGGCCATATGGGGCTCCCATAAAGATGGGAAAAGGATTCGAACCGACAATTAACAATTTTCAAGGATCAACGAAGAGGAAGGTTGACAAAACAGTTTTCATAAGTTCTAAGTGATTCGTCGTAATTTAGTGGCATGCCAAAATAGCAAATCAGCAAAAAAGATTCAAGAAGATGATGATATCCATAAAAAAAGAGCCAATATATAACCAACAAAAAATGAAGGAATCCAAGAATCGTCGACGAACGGTCCATTGAAAGATATAAAAATCTCGAAAACCTTTTTGATTTCGGGGTTTCGCGATAAAAGTAGAATCTAATTAGAATAATGACCACTTACTACTTAGAAATACCAGTACTTAATAAACCAAACCAGTATTATAAAAATAATGAAATTTAAAATTAACCTCATGTTTTTGAATTAAAAAACGTTTTTCTTCCTGAAAATTATCAATAATATCTTTTTTATTATCTTTACTACTAATAACATTCGATGAGTTCATTATTTCTTCTAATCCTTTTAGTTGTGCTCTCATTTCATTAAGATATGCTTCTTTATCCTTTAATTGATTATGCGCCAATCTAAAAATTATCAGTAAGTCGTTTCAGTGATAACTGATAAATTATCGATACTTTCTCAATTTATGACATTTATCTCAATTTGAAACATTTTATCATAATTTTATCATATTCTCATTAAATATATTTTCAATGAATTATTTTGTTTATTTTTTCCTATAATTCAACAAAAGACAACAATTTAATGGGCGTCACTTGTTCATATCAACCCAAAGCACACTCCTTTGCCGTCCTCTATTTCTCTTAAGTTCCACAGTTCTATTATTCTTAATAACCAAATCGTTCATACATACGCTTTTAAAAACATACTTCAGTTGTTTCTTTAAATGATGAATCTCTTTGGTCATTCGCTGAGTTGGTGTAATATATTTGATATTCGTGGTACTTGAACATTCCGAACTTGTATGTTTACAACCCCATTTTGCACAATGTGGCACATATCTTTAAAATTATTTTCATGGAGAAAAAATTTTTTTCGTAAAATTAAAAAAATCGATGAATTAAAAAAGTAAATATAATACAAAAAATATAACATAAAATAGTGCAATGATATAAAAAAATACAAATAAAATAAAAATATTAAAGCAAACTTTGTTGATCGACCAAACCACCATTTACCAGCAATATGCGAATTATTATTAGTAGTTGTATTGCTACTAACGCTTTCACTATCACTGCGAACACTACTACCGAAATTCGATTCATCTTCATCATCAATTTCGGATATTTCTTCCAAATCCTCAACGATATTCGCCGGATCTTCGTCTTTGATTTCCTCGCTATCATCATCTTTTATAATAGCCGTTTGTCGAACTGATGAATGCTCTATGAATTATCAATTTGTTGAAAGTTGTTTGGAAAGACTTAAAAGAAATAAATGAAATGATATTTCTAATAAAGTGCTTACCAAATGATTTTGATGACGGGGAAAATAAACGAGTACCGTCACATATTGAATCATTTTCGGTGTTATTCTCATCTGACGTTGTATCACCAAAAACGGCTACTACAATGATTTTATGAGCTTTATCAGTGCTCCTTTACATTAATCTTGCAGCGGTGATAAAAGGAAATAGAATGAATAGATTTTAGAAGTATCATTAGTAGATCCAAAGTTATTATAAGCCACATAACCAAAAGATTTATAAAGTTTTGCAACAGAAAATTTAAAAAAATATTGCATTTTAAATATTGCATAGCAACAACTGCTTAATAGGGCTGTAATAACGATGAAATGATTTACCCGCATTTTTTTCCGACCAGGTTAATGACAATTTAGGTATTCGTGTGATAGGTTTGTCGGGGAGATCAGGTGATGTTCGATATGATGATTGATTATTGATATTAATATGCTGATTAGAAGATAAGCGATGAGATGATGATGATGCTCGTTTCAATATTCCCTTTAAGAGATATTTTGCTTTTATTTTCCAAAATAAATTTTTCACTAATTTTTATGTGAAAAAATTTTGTTGCACTGAATTTTTTAAACTGGAAATAGGGCTAAAAAACTAGCAAACATTAATTTGGCAAAAATAAGGAAACTAAAAACAATAATGTAAATAATAAAAATTTTTTTCTCACTCCCCTACGGGTGATCACGATCATCCTCAACCTCGGGTACTCTAGTGGAAGTCTAGGAGATAAGGGTTCTGCGCTGTTCTCTTAGCTGTTGGTAGTAATGCGCTTTTCTAGATAGAGATCTCTGATGTTGTTCCTGGAATCTGCTGAAACCACTTTTCTAGTTAAGGGATCATAGTTCCAAGTGCTCCAAATTAACTATGAAATAATATAACCGAATAATCGTCTATACAAATATATGAAAATTTTTATTTATTATATTTCTCATATATTTCTGATCAGATTCACTCCGCTGCCTTAACAAATTTCGCTAGCAATTCAAAGATTTACTAGTGTCGAATTCCAGCAGAACCACAGCACCGACACTCCGATATAAGAGGAACAATAATTCAATAAACAGCAATAACCTTAATTGGAAGAATTTGAGTTGAAGTGCATGGACTGACATTTACGTTGCCACTTTCTTGTTGATTTGTTGGTTGCACATTCATCTTACAAATTAAATTTAAAAAATTAAAAATAATTTCACAAAAAAAAAAATTACGTTCGTCTTCGGATGATAAGAAGAGATATTACGGAAAACGCAAGATAAAAGTTAAGATTTAAATATAAACGGCATTCAGATCATTTAGATCAATTTCATTTGCTGTTAAAATATTTTCACCAGAGAATCACTAAACTGATAACGAAGATGCTGGCGATTCACCTGTTTCTATCGGCCCTGATATATTTCTTTAGTGCGACAGGCCAGAGGAATAATCAGTGATAAATGCTCTTAAAAAAAAAAAAAAAAACAAATCCATTCTAAATGATAAACGATATGTATAACAAAATTACTAAGCATAATAAAAATGGCAAATATACAGTAGACAGTGATAAGAAAAATGATAAGAATATTTTGATGCCAATTATAGAATCGAAAGAATTATGATTTAAACAGAATTTTCAGCAAAATTAGTAAGAACTGATAAGGACTGATAAATGACTGATCATTATAAAAAAGACGATCGAGTGACATTTGAAGTCGCTCAGCTTTCTGACACAAATGACAGAGGTAAACGTTAAAAAGGCGCTGTGCTGCAAATCCCGCAGCACTTCCATTCGCAACCCGTTTGACTCTCTGGCGAAAGGCTTTCGTCCTGACAGTGATTGGAGCCAGCGAAATCAAATATGACGAATGCTGTTAGAGGAGGAAAAATGTTGTGTGAAAAAAAAAAAGAAAAAAACGAGGAAATTTATACGAAAAAGAAAAAATATTTAAAAAAATAAAAATAATTTTATAATTTATCTAAAATTAAAATTATAATTAAATTTTAAAAGGTCAAATAAGGATTGAAAGATTAAAATGAAAGGTCAAATATATATTTTAGTAAATTTAATAAAATCGATTTTATTAAAACCATTAAAATTTGAAGAAATTTTTATGTTTAAATGAAGAGTCAGTTGGCAAAATGTTGATTTGTGTTTGAACTCGTAAAAATGAACGAACGAAAATCTTTCAAGAAAAATTCATTTGCTCAATTATTTCACGTAAATTCAATTAGTTACCTAAATTAGTTAAAATATTTAATTAATAATTGAAAATATGAATTTTTCATATTAAAAAATTTTAGTTGTCTTTAAATGTTTTCCGAGAGATTTGCGCCATTCTTCGTCCTTGTCGAATCGTTCGCTTCAAAACTCGTTAGGCCTATTCCGCTAAGGCCATCGACTTGACAAAGCGCCTCTCAATCGTTTGCCGTGCTTGAAATTAACTGAAGCTATTCGATAAATTATGTAAAAATTACCGACGAATACCGAGAATTGGTACCTAAGTTAGAAATTAATCGCAAATTTGCAGAAAAACTGTAAATCAGCGAATTAATTAATTCAAAAAATTTAGTTATATTAATGCTGCATTTTCGATTTCTGTGGTGCATGAAGTTTTTTGACGATCTTCAAAAGCAATAATTAATAAAAATCAATAATAATAACAATTAAAAATAATGATTAAAGGTAACAATGATCAAAAATAATATTAATTAATAATAATTTGAAAATAATAGGAATAATTAATAATAAATAATTAATAATAATTATAAATAATAATAAAATAATAATAATAAATAATAATAAAATAATAATAAATAATATATTAATTTAAAAAACAATAAAAAATATATAAATAATAATAAAAATAAATAATGAAAATAGAAATGATTAGAAAGATTTAAAAAAGAAAAAACAATTGAAATTCCAACGATATATTCTGGTTTTCCAGAAAATCTCAAAAGAAAGGAAAATCCAGAATTTATTATCGAAAATAAATAAATCTCTAAAACTGCCGTTCCACCTCTTACAAAAATAAAATCATTGAATAAAAATTTTTTGATATTAAAATTATAAAATATTTTCTTGGCGCCGTGTAATTCATCATTCACCGTAATTTGTCAAAATCTATGATTATTTTCAAGGATATTTTTGGCCCATTAAGGTGCATTTTTGGCATTTTTGGTGCTAATCGGTTTTAATCAGTTAATAATAATAATAATAATAATAATAATATTTATGATTTGATATGTGCAACATTTATCTGCAACTAATGTTACATTATATTTCACAGCTAATCCGTATGTTGCATTTATTTATTTATTCAAAAATAAATCAATCAACTGCAATAAATCCGAGCAAAAAATCTAAGCACAAAGTAAAAAAATAAAAAAACAAATAAAAATATTAATAATAATAATAAATAACAAAAATTATAATAATACATAATAGCAAAAATAATAAAATTAATGATAATAAAATTAATAATAATATAATAATATAATATAATGATAATAATAATGATAATGATAAATTAATGATAATAATATTAATAATAATAATAATATTAATAACAACAATAATAATAATAGTAATAATAATAATAAAAATAATATCCTTCACTCAACTATTTCAATGAAAAATATTAATAATAAGTAAAACGAGTTTGAGTGCTTTGCGAAATTGATTACTTTTAGTGAATGCATTGATCGAAATGGCCAAATCTATTTGCCAGATATATCCACTTTATAATCTTAATAAAAAATTTTTTTTGGCCATTTGGCCAAATAATTTAGCATACATGCACGCACATGCACGCACATGCACGCATACGCATGCACATGCAAATATACATTCGTGAAATTACAGTGAATATAATAATAGAAAAAACCAGACGAGATTTACGAAAAGAATATTCGTTATAGATGCGAATGCACATAAAAGACAATTTTTTAAGGCACTCGCTGAAATCTTATGCTAAAGGAAATATAAATATAAGGCGACATGCAGTAGTAAACTATGTGACATGCGAGTGTCATCTTGTGAGAACACCTTGCACTACTGGTTGTTTGGCAGGTTAAGTACCATTCACTAATGGATTTATATAATAAAGTATATGGCAGTAATAAACTATGTGGCATGCAAGTGTCATCTTGCGAGATCAATAAAATTCATTCAAATCACCTCAAATGATTCTTATTTTTTTAGTTTTTTTTTCTATTTTCCATTTAAAAATTTTTTATCGATTTTTTGCATATTTGCAGGAAAATTATTTTATGTGTAATGAAATAAATTATTTCTACAAATTAGTTTATTTTTGCTTTTTTTTTCTTTATTATAGACTATGTTTGTGAAAAAAATCGATAAATCTATTGTCGATTATTTCCTTATCGATCCAATGATTTTATACGTATTTATTTTGGTAGATAAATTGTTTTCATTCAGTGATAATTTGTTATCTTATTTTTATTTGAGCTGATAATAGCGTTTAATTCTGGCATTTATCTGATCTCGAATAACTTTTAGTAATAATGATAACAATAATTAAAAAATCAATGGTATATATTGATAAAAATAAAGAATAATAAATGGTTTTGTATAATAATATTAATAAATGATAATAAAGAATAATGATAATGTAAAATAATAATTAATAAATTATAATTATAATTTATTATTATAATTAATTAAGCAATAAATAGTAATAGCAATAAATAAAGATAATAAAATAATAATAGTAAATAATGATAATAAAAATGATAATAATAAGTGATAATAATAAAAATAATAATAAAAAATAATAAATAGTAATAGCAATAAATAAAAACAGTAAAATAATAATAATAAATAATAATAATAAAAATAAAAATAATAATAATAAAAATAATAATAATAAAAAGCAATAAATAGTAATAGCAAAAAATAAAGATAATGAAATAATAATATTTGAGAGATTTTTTTCTTGGAATCAAAACATTAATAAGGAAAAATTCGCTGATTTACCAATAAAATTCAATCGGTTTTTCCCGTCATAAAATTTATTGTTTGTCTGTCACACATTCAAACATTTATTTTTGGCATTGCCAAATTTATTTTTCACGTTGCCAAATTTATTTTTCGCGTTGCCAAATTTCTTTTTCACGTTGCCAAATTTATTTTCCACGTTGCCAAAATTTAAAGAGTGGTCTGGCTAAGTGATGGTCAGGCGAAAGCTGTTATAGATTTAACTAACTCCTTCAAACGTTATAGATTTAACTCCATCCTATCCATCTCTCGACGGATGTAGTCCCGCCGGGTCTCTATTTCTACGGATGTAGCCGCTGGCTGTCTGGCCTCAGTGAAATCTCAGCCTAGTGGGCAGTGGAACCAGCCAAAGCGGGAACAGGGAGCACCGTCAGAAGAAATCCTTTGGCAATTCTGTCGTCGTTTATAAAATTCCGATAAATTCGAAATATATATGTATGTATATTTATTACAAATACGAAATAATATTTTATTTTTCGAGCATTAATGAAACGATATTTATTACAACGAATTTCGAAGGTGATTTTGCAAAGAAATTCAATCCATCATTGCCCATCAAATTTTTCTAATTTTTTTAATTTCGATTATCGAAAAAACAATAATTCAGGTGAATTCTCTTTTTTTACGTGAAAATTTACGTGAGAATCACGTAGTACGTGATTATTTAACATTGAAAAAGCGTGTTTCATCGTTAAAATTCTCAAATTCACTGCAAATATTAAATAATTTAATTTTTAATTTTTATAACTTTTAAAATTTTGCGTTAATTTTTTTGTTTCAAAATATTTTAAAAAAATATTTTTCTTTATATTTCCTTTCTAATTAATTCAGAAATTCAATTTTTTATTTTCATTTTCTTTTTATAATCAATTTTTCTTAATTCGGCATTATTAGAAGGACTATAGAGTGACTCGATCAGTCGTTCAGATTTTCGAGCACCAATGCTTGGGTTCCATCTTCCTCGGCCCATTGTTGGCGATTCGCTTCAGTGAAACGATCGCCAACCAGGTGATTGATTCACTGGCGAAATTTCTGTCCAATGCGATATAAGCCAGTTGGCCAGCAGACCGAGCCTAAGCCAGAAATGGTGAGCGAATTATGTAAAACTCCATTTTATAATTTGGATTAAATCAAACTGTGGGTCAAATCAAATCAAATCATTCAGATTCCTCTCGAAGTTCGAATTATTTCAGGTAAAAATTATACGAAAACAACCGTTGCAATTATCGGTTCATTAACGTTTGGTGGAGTATTTTTAAAAACTGCATTCGCGAAAATTTCATCTGATATCAGTGATATCAGTGATATCGCCGATAATGTTGATAATCAGCAGTTAAAAATACCCGAACGAAATGATCTTCCAGTTTATCGTCTTGATGATGTCAAAAAACATGGTCGTAATGCGCAGCGTATTTGGCTCACATATCAAGGAGTATGTTTTGCATTTAATTTAATAAATATTGTTGCCAGTAGATTATCGATAATTTGCATCTTTTTTTGGATAAGGTTATTAAAAATTCGCGATTAGGAAAAAAGCCGGAAAATATCCCACAAACATCGCCATTGGATCACTGGGGGATCATAAATAATATAAATGGATTCGTAAATATGGCGAAAAGTTGATATTCTTAAAATTTCTGCGATTTCAGGGTGTTTATGATATAACAGACTTTGTAGAAAGTCATCCTGGAGGTGACAAAATATATTTAGCTGCCGGAGGAGCTGCAGATCCATTTTGGAATATTTATGAACAGCATAAAACACCTGAAATTTTAGAAATGCTTGAAGAATATCGAATCGGTAATTTAGATCCGAAGGATATTGTGGCTGTTGATGAAATTAAAGTCAGCTTTTTCACCTTTTATTCTCACAACGTGGACCATTTCTTGTTTAGCTAAACTAATGGCTAGATTATTAGTGTGAGGCGTTTCCAAATTTTGACCATATTTTGGCTATAAGATGGATTTATAATTGATAAATTGCAGGATGAAAATGATCCTTATCGAAATGATCCAAAGAGGCATCCGGCACTTCTTGTACGTTCACAGCGACCTTTTAATGCTGAAACATCACCTGAATTGTTACTAGATCATTTTATAACACCGAATCAAATTTTTTTCGTTCGCAATCATATGCCCGTGCCTGACGTTAGTTATTTAAAAATTTTATACATATATATATTTCTGCGTTTTATTATGGTAAAGTCGAGGTTTTAAGAGAAGAGAAGTTTGTTGAGATTTATTCTTCCATTTCCCATTTTTGCAGTACTTCTGGGGCTTGCCAGCTTGCTGAGGATAAACAACTCTTTCGCTAGACAGTTCTTAGGTTAATAGAGATATAGGTGAATCCCAACAGTCATCTGGCTTTCACTTTGAATGACCTACTCGTGTCAGGAAATAATCCATGTTTTATCATGAGTTACTTTTGCCTAATTTCGCCTATAATCTCTTTTCATTTTTTATTATTTTTCTTAGTTCACCTTGATATTTGACATTTTCGCATATTTTTTCAGATAAATAGTGAGAAGCATAGATTAAGCATTAGTGGTATTGGCATTAAAAAAACGATTGCTCTTAGCGTTAATGATATTAAAAGGAAGTATAAACCAATTACTATAAATTCATCAATACAGTGTGCTGGGAATCGGAGAGCCATTATGGGGAGTCACAAAAAGGTTTTTTTAAAATTTATTTCAATCATCCTGGAAATCATTAGCATTAATTGATAATAATAATTTTCTTAATCTTAGGAGTGTTACTTTCGATTATTAAACTGAATTTATGGAATATTTATTAAGGTGCAAGGATTATCATGGGGAGGAACTGCGATCAGTTCAGCAAAATGGACGGGAGTAAAACTAAAGGTTATTTTTTTGCGACGATTCCCTAGTGCGTATATGATCTTTTGGACTTTTCGTTAGAAATAAGTTAAGCCGAATTTTTAGCATTAAAAGAATTTCCAGGCTTGTTTCTATGGAGAATGGACAAATAAGAATTATAAGATAAATTAAATAAGACATATAAAAATAAGAATTATCTAATAAGGAAAAAGTTGCATTTTTACTGGCTCCTATGTTTCTTTAGCTTTAGGAAAGCAATGTCGGAAGAATCTCTGTCTTTTGATAATATTAAAGAATATGGAATAAGGGATGGCTGCTGGCGTTTTGCCTATGCCTCTATTCCCTGATAATTTTATAGATGATCCAAGAGAAGATAAAGTGAGAAAATTTCTTCGGTTATTTCGTTAATGGACGAGCAGGCTAAATCAGAATTATTATCAACAGATATCATATTATCATGTGGAGATCCTCCTAGAAGGATCTCCTCATAATAAAATATCTTAGTTAGTTAATTAGATGAAGAATTAGTTAGATAATCAAATAATGAATATGTAAATATGTATTTAGGATGTTCTCATTGAAGCTGGTGTTGATCCTAATGATAAGCGCATAAAACATGTGAAGTTCGGTGGTTGTGATTCTGACACAGATGGTATTATCATTTTCACTTTTATTCCGAATAATATGAAAAGACAATTTTTATGTCTTTAATAAAATTTTTATTTTATTCTAGGACGCACATATGAAGCCTCACTGACTTTCAAGAAAGCCATGAGCGATGAGGTTATCATCGCATACGAAATGAATGGCGAAGACATTCCTCGTGATCATGGATATCCTTTAAGACTGATTGCTCCAGGTATAATTTTCTTTTTCTAACGGAGAGTCATTTGAAGATGGTATGTCGCGAAATGCAAAAGGGCACTTTGAGGTCGTTCCACCCTTGTTGGCTCTGCCAATGATGCTTTTTATTTCCTTAATTGAGCTATTCGAGCTTTTTCCTTAGCTTCTGTTCAACCATTATTATTCTTCTTTTGCTGGTGTTTTTGCTAAAAGTCGATGCATTTTTTATGATATTCATTCATAATGTTTTGTATTATAGGCTATTTTTAATATTATATATGCACATTCATTGCTGCTTTAATTTTAATTCATTCATTTTGTCTAAGGTCCCTAATCGTTCCATTATTGGAATTTCAGGAATAGTTGGTGCTCGACAAGTCAAATGGTTAACTACGATAATATTAAGTGAGGAAGAAAGTGGATCACACTGGCAGCGAAGCGATTATAAGTATTTTTAAATTTTTCTTTCTTTTTCCTTCATGCACTAGTGGCATTCACCATGGGGAAACTATAGATTTAAGATTTTTGCTGCATTTTTTCATTTCTTCCTTTCTTCTAAGAGTATCACCCTTTCTTATGCAGTGCTAGATGCATTGGCTACTAGGATAGAATGTTTCCAGTCATATTGTCACTTATGTTCTGAAATTAATTGAGAGCATCCTGTTTGTTCATCTCTCGTTGGTTCATTGTAAATGCAATATGAATTAAATAATTTTATTGTGATTTCTGTACTATGCATTTTACTACGGGAGAAATAGGTACGTAATATCTTGATTTTCAATTGTTATCACGCTAATATTAGTGGTTATAGTATTGTTAAATCATTGGAAGTAATTTCAGAGTATTACCCTTATCTGTTGGTCCTTCAGATGTCCAAGATTTTGATTCCATCCCCGCAATCCAAGAATATCCTGTTCAAAGCGCATTTTGTGTACCAGCTAATGAAATTACAGTTAATCGAGGTAGAATATTACATATATATATTTTATCTTTTTTACCACCATCTTCACAAATTTCTTTGCTTTAAGTCTATTTGTAGTAAATATTTCGCAGATTTATAATTTCTTAGATTAGTTTTCTATATTTTGTGAGTGAAATCAAGATTTTTATTTTCATTTTATAATAAAAAAATTTATTTAAGCGGATGGTGAACTCGACGTTGCTGGGTACGCATGTAGCGGCGGAGGTCGAGGAATCATTCGTGTTGAAGTTTCAGGTGATGGGGGTAAGACTTGGCAATGTGCAGAGTTGGAACAAGATCCCGAACAAGACTTGGTAGATTAATCTCATTTTGCAAGAATCAGATTCGAGAATCAGATAAATTTTGAAGTCTTTTTATATTTTCATAGAAAGAAGATTGAAAAAACTTGAAATGAATCTAAAATTTCCCTTTACATGAAATGTTTATAATTTCACAAAATTTTTGATTCTTTCTAAAACTTTTTAGGATCATATGTGGGCTTGGACATTATTTAGAACTTCTCTCAAAATACCTCAAGATGTAAAGGAAATGAACCTAATATGTAAAGCAACAGATCGTTCATATAACACTCAGCCAGAGACACCACTTGGGATTTGGAATATTCGGGGACTCAACAATAATAGCTGGCATCGAATAAAAGTCAATATTGTTGATTGATACATCAAGGAACGTTTTTAAAAATATGGACTCTAGAAGATGAAAAATTGCATTTGTAAGTTAACTGGTTTGTTCGTTCGTTGAAACCAGTTGATTGACGAAAAATTGTACTTTATTCGGAAATTGAGTAAATAAGTTCTCATTTTTTTTATTTTGTTCCTATATTGCATGTATCAAAAAGATTTTTTTTGCATAACATTAAATTTTTTGGTAAAAATAATATTAAATTGGGATTTTCTAATACTACAGTACCACATATTACACAATAGTAGTTCCACAATAATTGCTAATAATCAGTACAGTGAAAAATAAAAATATTCTAAGCATTCTTTTCGAGTTCAATAAGATGCTTTATTCCATCGTACATTTGTTTGACAGCCTCAAACTCTGTTAATCCTAATCGAGCCTTATTTGAAATATCATAAACACCACCAACGGAATCCGAATGTTCACCGTGAATGCCACGGATCTATAAAATATATGATGATTTAAGTAGGTTCTGTTATTCGTTCCTATGTGTCGTTTTTGACAAAGTTTTACAAAATTTCGGTGAAAAATCTGGTTGGTACTAAAATAAAGCGGCATACACTTTGTTGTAAGAAAGAAATCACAATAATATAAAAATTTAAATAGATATTTTGAAAAGGATCCTAAAAGTTTTGTAGAAAAATTTTTTGTAAATCTTGAATTTTTATCCGTAGTAATGCTCACTTGTAATTTCAGGCTGTCACAAATGTTTTTGAAATCAGGTTTGGCGCTTATTTTCGGTAAACGAATATGAACGGATGCACGAACTGTAGTTCCCAAATTGCTTTTCTATTGCCTTAACTCCTTTAATGAGCCGTTCCAGAACCTATAAAATGGTGAAATAAAATTAGCCATTATTCCAAAACTTAATATTAAATAGCTTATAGATATTTCAGATAATATCATACCTGGCCAACGTTCCCACCATTTTGCATTGAAATAATTCGTAAATGATCTTCTTCATTGACCCAAACGAGGAACGTTTTTTTATTATTATGGAAAATGCCTCGTCCCTTTGGCCAATATCTGCATGCATTTGCTGCCTGAAGAAATCTGAAAATTGATTTATGATCTCTTGAAAATTTGGAAAATATAGAGGAAAAATATTTGAGAAAGGGTTTTTTTGAAAAGATTTTTAAAGGGCCATTGAAGGGGGCTCACAAAGGTGTTTCGTTAATGGAATATAAAATGTTTGAGGAAGCTTTAAATCCGTGGAATTAGAATCCTGAATTATCTGAATTAAGAATGATATTAATAAATTTTAAGGAGATGGAAATTTAAGGGAATTGTAAAGCATTTACTTTTCAGCGAGTAAATAAATAAAGTAATCAAATAACTTGATAAACTGATAACAATTTCTTTAAAGATGCTGATAATAGGAGTGATTGTTTCACAAAATTCTCGAAATTTACCTATCGCCTTCCTTGAATAGAAAGTGATCTTGGATAAGCTGCTTTTGCACTTCTTTGGTCATACCTGTTAATGGATAATAGTGGCCTTTTAAATCGTCATCGACCAGTTCTTCGAATATCTTTTTGATCTGAAATCTTTCAATTTTTCATTGACAATTAGGCAATTTCTGATTTATTATTATAATATATAATTTTTCAGTAAGTCTCATTTTCTAAGTTATCGTTTGCCAAAAAAAAATATAGAGTAAAAATTTTGAAAAATGAACTCGGAATTTGTCAAAAATCAGTCCTAAAGAGGATTTCAATCTCAAATTTTCGAGAATTATCTTATTACTTTCGTGATAAGAGTAGGATAAACAGTACTAAATAAACTGATATACTGATAATACCTGATAACATCAAAAATGAGCTTGACTATGCGAAAAATAGCCTTGAACATATTCGAGCAGATCGATAACTTATTGAATTACTAATACCCAAAGTCAAATTACCTTACAAGAAACCATGGTCTCGTTCAATGAAAAAAAAGTTTCGAAATTTGAAATTTTCCGTAATTCCATCGATATTACTAAATTTTAAGGAGATGGAAATTTAAGCGGATTGTAAAGCATCTACTTTTTAGTAAGTAAGTAAATAAGGTAATCAAGCAAGCTGATATACTGATAATATTTTCTTTAAACAAGTGCTGATAATATTTGATGTGCATGTTACCTTTTCTTCCATCTCGATATAATTTGCTTCTGTAAGGCAAGGATTGAAGGGATATCCTTGAAGTGAACGTCCGCATCGAATCCGCGTTGAATTAATAAATTTACCCTCAGGGTCTAAGTCCGTTAGCAACTGAGTTTTTCCTGTGTTGGTAATTCAATCAATTCAATCAATCGAAATACAAAAAAAATCTAATTATATTGATCACTTAAGAAAAGTGGAATAATATGTTGTAATTACTGGCAGTGAAATTATCATTATCATTAATTTTATCATTAATTTTCTTAGTTCATGACAAATTTGCCAGGCATATTCAATTGTTTCTCATAAATCCATAAGATATTACAGTTGCTTTGCTTGCGATGCAAATATTATAATTTTAAATTAAATTTGAATCCAACAAGATCTAATGGCCTAATAATACTAAAACCTATAAGCAAAACTAATCTACAAAGGACTCGTGATTCCTTTATTCGTACTTTTAATTACTGCAGTAAATTACGATAGAGTTTGTGCGTCATCTTCAGCTATTTTTAAAAAAAGATTAGATTAATTTTTATCATATTTTCTTATTTTATCATTAATTTTCATTATTTATTATTTTAATTGTTGTCATTAATAAAAGCACATGGCACTTGTCGCTTTGCTTGGTTGGCTTTCAACAAATAAATAAATAAATAGATGCAGACAAATATATTTGGTGCCAATTAAAAAGAAAATCTGTACCTTCACCAAGATCAGTATTAGGTTGTTTTTGGTTAACTGTGAAGCCATTATGATAATCCTCAATGATTGGATCGAAAAGTGGCTTAAAAAGTGTATAAGACTCGGCATCTGGAGCATAAACACCGACGCCAGAATCGAGATTTTCGACACCTTAATTTCATTTCAGCAAAAAATCTCTTTTTAGAATTTTAATAATATTTATATTTATTATTTAAATTATTAAAATATTTAAAATTTAAAATAATTCTTTTTTTAAAAAATAAAATCCATTTTAATAGGGATTCAAAATGAAATTGAACAGCTGACTTTTTTAAAAAGAAATTTTACAAGTTTTTTTATAAAAAATAAAAGTTCAATCGAGTAGTTTTATCGAGTAATTTAATTTAAATAAATTACTTTATCGATTTAATAATTATTACATCATTTTATATAAAAAATAAATAAATAAATACTTAATAGATACTACAATTATTAAATAAATTAGTAAATAATAAAAATAATAAACAAATAAAAATTTCTAATTGTATTTTAATATATGCACAAACATTTAAATTTATATTTAAATTTATATAAACATAATATTATATAAAATAATAAACTTGGCTAAATAAATTATAAAATATGTTTGAATATCTTTCAAATTAATTATTTTAAATTTATTATTTATTTTGCATAAATAAATATTTAATTTATTATGGAAATCTAAATTGCCTTAAATAATAAATCACAAACATACCAGATTGAATGACATCGAGCAGCGTTGCACCGAGTTTCGTTTTTTGAGTTTTCAGTTGCTCGACAATTTCTTTCGTTAAATACTTCTTTAATAGCGAATGACATTCTTGACTCTTCTAAAATCAAGAAAAAAGTCGATATTTATTAAAAAAATAATAAAATTAAATTAAATATGATAATAGAAAATTATTTTTATAAAATAATGCAGAGCGAAAAAAAGATCTAAAAATTTTCCAGAAAATTCAAGGAACTATTGAATATGGTTCACATCCACACGCGTTTTTCCATGATTGCTTTCATGTTTTCATAATAGAGAGAAATAAAAATATAATCAAATGGTAAAAAAGGAAATATTAGAACGACTCTGCTTCAATATAATAATAATAACGCGTTAAGTTATCACAAAAATATGAAATGATAACAACTTCGAACTTTTATCACCAGTAAATTTTTTCATGGCTTATAGAGATGATAAACATGTTTTAGAAGAAGTAAATATTATTAAATAAATATTGAAATTGAGAAGTTTATTTATTAAAAAATTCTATGAGAAGGGAGATATTTGTTTGTAAATTTCTTGCAGTGTTAAGAACCAAGAATAAAGCGGAAGTGGGCTTGTAAGCTTAATTGAAGTTAAGAAGAGCAATGTTTTGAACTGCGATAGATGGAAAGCTTTTGGCTATCATCGATCTATTTTCCAACTGGAAAGAAATCTGTTTTTAATGAAATGTCCATAAATATCTAATCAAAGAGAATTTCAATCTCAAAGTTCAGCCTCGAGAACCAATTTTCTTAGAACTTCCTCAGTAGGAGAAAAATTAAATAAACATTATGAAGTGTTCCGGGTGCAGTGAGCTGAACAAATTGTATTTCTATCGCCAGAGTCGAATGACTCGCTAATAAAATTTTCAAACTGTACTAACAGTCCAATCGTGACATGGTAAGAAGTGATAAACGTTAATCGTTTAACATATGATCCTTTCATGTTCAAGATTAGATGGGAGATTCCCAAGAAAATCGCGGTAAATCATGGCCACTCATGTCCGTTGGGCTCCCTCATCCAGCAGACCAACTGGCCAATACTGGCCGAAATAAAAATTCTCAAAGCAATCAGATATCGTGCAGAACCATAAATCAGTAATAATAGATATAGCAAAACCAAGTGACAGGATGTGAGAAGCTAAAGAAATATTAGGGACTGAAAAAGAAATAGAAATAGCGATGTGGAAAGTGAGGTCCAAAGCATTGGTGATAGAGGGGCTGTGATTCCCAAACTGAAAAACTGGCTCCAACGATTTCCAAGAACAACATCAAAGATCTCGATCTCTATTCAAAAGACGCACTGCTAGGAACAGCTGCTATACTACGCAGAAGCCACAAACTCCCAGGCCTCTAGCGTAGGACTCGACGTTGAGAATGACAATGCAACCAACCTGCAACTTCTCGAATCCGTTTTCAATTTTCGCAATAACAGCTGGATCGACATGCATCGTTATTAATAGAATTGTACTGGTAACACTGATTTGCGACGTTGGTAACGATGCGTGGTGTATGTTTATGTTACGTACACGATGAATTTCATAGATCAACTCCGCCTTTCGGGTCGGGTTTTGTTAAAATAGAAAAACTTTATTTAACTGAAAATCAACAAATAAAAAATGAAAATTTTAAACGCAAATTGTATTTTTTCATGAATGTAACAAAGTTCAAACATGGTTCAATCACCGTTTTTCTTCGTCGTCTAACAAAATGTACCCATTTGGCTTCGATCTATTGACGCTTCAAGTTGGGCGATAGTCATTTTGCCAGAAATCCACCTAATAATAAACATAAAAGTGCATCCCTAGTCGAATTTTTAACTGCACATTCGCCGTAAAATACTGTAAAAGAATGGATCTTATGCGATTTGCTTTGGTGCTGAAATGCTGAAACCGTTTGTCGCAAAAACTCCAACTCCAATAAAAGTTGTTTCACCTATATCGTGGAAATTACCTCCGATCTTCTATTTTGAAGCGTTAAACAATAATAACGAGAGAAAAGCCAAGGGCATTTTAAGGGATAAGATGAGTTAGCAAAAAGCACGCGTGAAAATTAGCCAAAGATTTGGATCGATGTTTCGCCATTGCTTACTTAGCTTTGTAGTTATTCAATATTCATGCCTAAAAACCTTTTATTTCCTACTACCTGCTGAACAACATAATTTATCATAATTTCCTTATCAACTGTGATAACGATATCCTCTTTTCTTTAATTTCAATTTCTTATGTGGATAAAGGTGCCGCTTCTTTCTTAATCATTCATACTTTCTGTGTCTACGGTGACAAAGGTATTAATTTCTTAAAAACTCCTTTCCTTTGGTGATAAGATACCTTCTTTTTTCTCAAATAGCACCTATCGTTTCCAAATCGTTGCTTCCTTTATTAAACTTGCATTTGCTTGCTTATTGTTTATTTATTTGTCTTATAAAAAACTAAATTTGTCCTTAAATTATACAATTTAAGAAATAAAGATAGACAATTTTTCATCGATATGAAATCTATTCTTTTGGCGTTTTAAGGAAGATGAATTACGTCGATATGGCATTGATAAATGTTCGTTTAATGATAATCGTTTTCTCAACGAATAAATAAAAATTGATACGATCTTTTGAGTTATCTTTTGAGTTTTCAAGCGCAATAATTCTGTAAAAAATTCACTCAAATAATAAAATTTTTCCACTTTTCATTTTTATCTTTTTCACTGTAATTTCACAAAATTCACATAAACGAAAAATTATTAAAAATTCACAAAAAATATTCCTAATTTTTTATTTTTATTAATTTATTTTTATTATTAATTTTTATATTTATTAATAATTATTAATAATAATTATTAATAAAAAACCAAAGATGGCGAATGATGGTGATTATTATTTTCCGTTAATGAGATACTTCCGTTATTCTATGAAATGTTTTTCGCTGCGATTCACAACTTCAGTCGTATTTAAGCGCATTAATTTCGGATTTGGATTTGTGGATTATATCGCCGCAAATATCAATTTCAGGAAAATTAACGAAATTTTTTTATAAAATTTGGTTATTTCAACTAAATTCCAACTTAATAAGCTTTAAGCTTGTAAATTCTTCTTTATTCATTATTTATTGCTGAAAATAATTTTTTCATAAATTCCAAAAGGAATTCAAAAAAATATTAACAATCAAATTTATAAAAATATTTAATATTTTGACTAATAAATATTGCAAAAAGGAACCATTAAACTAATATAAATTGGGTAAAATATTAAATAAAATATTAAATAATAGATAAAACAAATATAATATATCGAATTGATACAATAAATAAAATGTTAAATAAAAATAATAAAAAATAAAATAATAATAAAAAACAAATTTGCAGATAATAAAAATATGCATTTTCTATGTTTTGAACTGCTTATCGAAGGAAATTCGTAATGAATATTCATAATACTAGACAATATCCATAATTGGTTTAGAAATAGTGGTGAAGTTACCGATCTCACCTTTCACCGTGAATCATTCCTCTTTCTATTTCTGCTTCTCTTCTCTTATAAAAGATTTTACAATTTTTAAAACATAATTTTTCTTCTTTGGCCAATTTAACAAATTTTAGATCCTTAAAATTCCCACAGAATTTTTTAAAATTTTTGTGGATTTTTAAAATTTTATTAAATTATATAAAATTTTATTAAGATTTTTTTATGATTTTTCATATTTTTGATAAGATAATTTTCATGAAAAATTCACTTTATTTTCACTTATAAATTTGTTTTTCTTATTGTAAATAAATGAGAAATCTAAATTTTGCTATTACGGATTTATTGATGAACGACAAGAAATGAAGAATTTTTATGAAAAAATAAGAAACGATAGACATGGCAAGACATCTTGAAAATTTTTGGACCTTTTCAACTGTCATATTCCTATAAATATTTCTTACAAATTATGATTTCACAAATAGTTTGTATAATTTGGATAATCGTTTTGACTATAAATTCGATATAAAAGCTTTTCTTTTGTCAAAAATGCGCAACATTTCTGGTTTCAATCAGCGAAAAACACCTTATCTTCACTAAAAAACCATCGCTTAGCCAAATATAAATTTCTTTTTCTAAAAATCCTAAGTGAAATATTTGAGAAAAAAATGACAACTACCGTGCCTTATCATTTCTTATCAGTTATTATTTTTATCTTTAAGATTTCCTGTATAATTTAAATGAATTTAGATGGACGTATAAAGGATAATTGAGGAATGAAATTTATTTAATCATTGAGAAACCATTTCAAATGCTACGATGAAACGAAAAATGCGAATGCGAAAGACAATGAAGCAGCAGCAGATTCTTTAAAATATATTTTTAGTGAACATAAATACTGTTGTTTTTTTTGCCAAAATTATTCCATACGACCTCATAACGGTCACTTGTTTGCCAATTTCCATCGACAACAAATAGAAATTCATAATAACCTTCCGGCAAATCCACCGATACACTAAACATTGTCCCATCATCCGTTCTCGTACATACCAAACCGCATTCCCAATTCACAAAGCTTCCCTATGAAAAAATTATTTTTATTTCGGAAAAAATCAGTTTTAAATTAAATTAAAATAGAATTAAATTTCGTAAGGTTTTTGCGAGAATTCCATACAATATCTAACTTTTCTGGAAAATTATGGACAGCAAAACTTGGAGTTGTTCGGGCCGTGGCATTGAAAATTTTTTTAAAGAAGGCTAAAATAAGGAAAAAATTCATTGATGAAACTTACAAATAAGAACACTGCTTGAGTTGAATGACCAGCGGCAATTTCAAACTTTATTCTTCGATAATTATTGATATCATGCGGCGAATGTTCTTCATTCCTATAAATTTCTTTCCAACCTAGCAAGGAATAAAGCCTTAAAAAAGTGAAAAATGAAAAATAAAACTGTCTATTACATTCATTAATTTTCCCAATTTTCGTATCCATATTCGTATCCGTTTGTACGAATTTTTTGAGAATAAAAATGAAATAAATCCAGTCATAGTGATGAAAACATGAAAGCAACAAATCGCAGTAAAAAGGAACGAAACTTTCAATCGACCAGAAAAATTTTTAAGTAAGAATTAAGTAAGAATTTTCGTGTCTAAAATTTGAGTAGTAAACTCACCACATCGCTAGTTTCCACTTTTCACGTTGTCCCATTGGATCTCTTTTGATAAGGAAGGTGTCGCGTAATGACACATTCGTCAAATCTTTGAGACGACGAACCTCATCCAGCTCTCTGCCTAAACGATTTATTTCTAAACGAGTCTGGTCAAGTTCGAACTGCGTGTTAATTCTTCTCGCTTCAGCATCACCATATCTAAAAATAATAGACGGTGAATAATAAATAATTTTTAATATAAAATTATCGATATTGTCATTAATATTATTATTTATTGTTACTGTTATCATTAATGTTATCATTAATTTAATAATAATTAATAGTTAACATTAAACATTATTATTTGTTAATAATTAATAACATTATTATAAATGCACTAATCACTTAATTTTATCGTTGCTCATTATTATCATTATATTCACTTATTATCAGTTCGCCATGCAAATATGACGATTATTTTTTGCTAAAACTCCAGTCAAATTCACCAAATTTTCTAGGACAGGTTCTTCAACTGATAATAGGAATCGCCTTTCCATTTTATATTAGCATTAATAGGAGATAGCGAAAAAGAATTCCGCTTTTTCAAGATTAGGAAAATGTTAAGAATATGCAAACCTATATTCCATTTCTCCAAGTCTCGCCTTTGTCTCTCCCAAGAACCATTCGCTTTTATTGTAATGCTCCCGAATAGCGTCGCGCTCGCTGTAAGCCCTTTCGAGTGCTTCTCTTAATTCTTTATCAGTGGAAATTTCGCCAACTGGCCGTGTTGAAAGTTGATGACGAAGATGCTCGATTTCACCTTTTAAACGACCATTTTCGCCATGCAACTCAGATAATTCACGATCTTGATTTGCAATTCGCTCTTTCGCTAACCAAATGTCCACACTCATTTTCTTAAGGTCCTCTTCCAGAGATTTTTCACGTTCCATCAAGGATTTTTTTTGACTTTCCGATTCTTTTAGCTGGAAAGTTTGATTCGATTATAAAAGTTATATCTGAGTTATATCTATTATTATATATCTCATAAAAATACCAATAAATGATTTCGGTAAACACTTAATGGTTTTAATCAATTCCAACAGCTCAAATCGTCAATTTCGAAACTTTTTATCAAAATTTATCAGCATTGTCTCATTCGATGCTTTAGGCAATAGGCACGAAATTTACTTGCGCTGATAGGTCGAAGCTTTTTTTGGACGATTTGATTGCTTCTTTTGTCAATTCCTCCATATAATTTCCATCATGAAATGCTGAACTAACTAAAACAAAAAAGTACAATGAAGACAAACAAAAAAAACTTATATCGTGGATATTTTTAGTTTTCTAGAATTTAAATGTGAAGGAAAGTTTTTGGTTTGGGTTTCACCGACTTCTAAGATAAGACTGCTAGAGAAGCACTTTGGATAGAAGTGGATCTCCAACATCTATCCGAATTATTTGTTAAAAAACGGTTATATGCCAAGGAACCGTAATCAAGCCATACTAATTACTAATAGTTAAAGCAAAACAGGATTCAAGCACTATTCGCTTCCATGGTTTATTGACTTATCGGAATAATTTTGCCGATAAATTTTAGTCTCTATTGGTTAGATCAATTCTATTTCCTATTTTTATAATTCTCTTTTCTCCATATCAAACACCTCCAATTTTATTTTAAATTCTAAAATTAGGTCAAAAATAAAATATTAAATATTATAATATTAAATTATTAAATTCCGAAAATGTGAGAGGTGAAAAACTACTATTAGCTGGTTCCATATAGCTGCCGCTAATTTTCCGAACTTCATCCATATTTGCTTGATGTTTGTAAATTTCCTAAATAAAGCAGTTATGATAATTGGCAATATATGAGATCATTTTAGTCATAAATTAATTAGTTATATGGGCAACTATAACTAATAATTTCATTTATAGGTAATTATAATTAATAAATATAAATAAATTATAATTATAAATGATAAATACTAAATAATAAGAACTATAATAAAAGTAAATAATAATAAAACTATTACTTTTTTATTTTAATATTTAAATCTTCAAAAATTAATTTTATGATCTAACAATTTTTACTTTAATAATAATGATAATAATAATAATAATGATTTTTTAAATAAACAAACAGTATGAATATAAATTGAAAAAATTTCTAGGAAAAAAAACAAGAAAAAAGATTTAAACTAAAACTTATAAAATCTTACGAAACTTATAATATGCTTTCTAGTTTTTCGCCTAAATTAATTGAGCTCATAGAGTTTTATCTTGTTTATTATCATTGATTATCATCATCAGCTACCTCTCTGGCTTGATTATGACTGATAATTCTGTTTAATTAAATACCAAAATGAACAAAGCATTTATTAAATAACTAACTAATTCCATATTCGCATTTTCAAGCTTATGATTTAACTTCCGAATAGTATCATGAGCGTCCACAAGTTTTTCTTGCAACATTTTCAATTCAGACTGCAATTTTTCATTAATAATTTGAAAATTTCTAAAAAATCGAGTAAATATTATTATAAGAAAACATTTCTTTATATCTTCAAAATATTTTCGATAAATTTCATCAATTTAAATTTTACAAATTAATTAAAAATTAATAAAATAATTAACACCTTTCGAATGGAGCAAACTATAAGCAACGCCTTACCTTGAAATACGAAAAATTTACCTCACTGGGTGGAAGACGACGACCAGATTCTCTTTCTTGTTCTTTCATTATTTCCAATCTTAACAAAATCTGATATCTGATCTGATATTAATCTGATTATGGCTTGAATATTTGTCACTGGCTATTAATTAGTCAAAATTTTGAAAAATATATAGGATGACGATCAATTTCATTCATAAACTTTATCCTAATTTTACAAAACCTGCGCTTAAGAGAGGTACCATTTAAAACAATAAAAATTCAACCTCTGTTGTTGAATTTCAATTTCTTCATCTTTCTGCTTTAGTTGAAGCCGAAGTTGGCTATTTATTTGCATACATTTATTAAGATCGTCTTGCAAATATTTTATTTGCCCTTCTTGTTGATATTTTATACTTAAAAAAGACGAATAATTTTAGAATGAGTTGTAATCTGGGTAATAAATTTATTGCTTAAATTCCGATTTGCTAACAAGCCTGCGCGAAATATGAAGTGGAGTCCAAGCCAATCGGTAAAACAAAGAACAAAGTCAACTAATATGCTATTAAGCCAAAGCCAAGATCATTAAAACTGATGACGATGAAAATTGCATGGTCGAATAGACTTAAACCTGGGGAATTACTTTTTTCAGTAAAAGATTTTCTTGCGAAAGAGTCCAATCTTTAGCAATCAGTGGAATCAGATAAGCCAGAATGGAGATTAAAAGAACAGTGCCGATTTCACCTATTCGAAAAAATTCAATTCGATAATCTTCCAATACTTATCTTTTCATCTTTGTTGCTTGGCCAATAATACATAAATCATTTTTTTTGCTTACCCTATGGCCTAAAACGTAAAAAAAATTATATTACCTAGAATCCAGATCACCGATTCGAGAATCTTTGTTGATCATTTGCCAGTTATACTCTTTTATAGTATTATTTAATTCTTCTAAGCTCGAATCTTTCGCCAAAATCTCTTTATGAAGTTCATCGATTTGCTTATTGAGATCACTTAAATCATATATCAAAATACGATAAGTCCATTGATAAAGTGATAAAATTCATTATTAATATTATTATTGTTTATTGTAATTTTACATACTTAATTTTTTCTTCTTGTTTAATTAGGTCGATCTCTGCTTTCGCTAATTCTTTTTCTTTTGTCAACAGAAGTTTCTTGATTTCATCTTCCTGAAATGATATTCATTAGAAATGCCCAAGATTTCGATGTTCGAAAAAAGTGCTCTAATCGGATTCGTCGATAATTCATTCGATAACTAACTTCGTCAGATGGAAATTCGTCGAAGATCTCATCCGATTGATCGCCTTCCATATTTCCCATTTTACTAAAAAAAAAATTTCTTAGATTTCTCTTATCTTCAGAGGTAAATGCAATAATTAAATAATTAAGCAAACAAAAACGAAAAATACTGAAAAGAAAAAAATATCTAAAATAAATAAAATAATTAGTAGAAAAAAGAAGAAAAATTCAAAATTCAAAATTCAAAATCTAAGTTTTTAAAAAAAGCATCGCAGAGATGGAAAAAAAGAATTTTTTCGTGGATAATTTTTTTTTACAAAGAATAATGCGAAATCTCACTTAATTTATCAAATCTTTCATCCATAAAAAAACTTTTTCTCATAATTTAAATTTAATTACATAACTTAAATTTAAATTACAGAATTTAAATTTTTAAATAAGCTCAAACAAATAGCAATTGAAATATGAAATAGAATAATGTAGTCAGTAAATGAAAAAAAAAGGAATAATTTTTGGCGTGTCAAAGGTCACATAGATATCAACGACGGAACAAATAACGCTTCTACTATCATAAAACTAAATAATATTTGTTTTGCAAATCTCTTATCGACACAGAGTATAGATACAATAATATATATGACCAAAGTATGTATACAAAAGCACTTAAAAGACCTTGGTTACTTCAAATCAATTACCCTGTCCTAATCTGTTAATAAATCAGTTAATGAAGGAATATTTTCTCCAATCTATGGACAATTTTCATTTGTCTCTTTTATAAAATTTCGCTCATTTGCTGGATTTCTATCATTCTCTTATCATTTATCATTTATCATCAACTATCATTGAAGCTATTGGTTATAGAAAGAAATTTATTTGAATGACTAAATAAAAGCTTTTTAACTAAGTAAAAGTAAATTTATTATATATTTCTACTGCTTATAATTCACTGAAATAAAGTTTTCGAATTTCGAAAATTTATGAATGCTTTTCGAGAAGATTGAAAGAAGAATTTTCGTGTTTTTCAAGCAGAAAAATAATCCATTAAAATTTTCAATGAAATTAAATCGAATCGAAGAGAATAGCAAATAATTAGTATTGTAGAAATTCACCACGAAGAGCAATAAGAAAATAATTTTTTCTAAAATTAATGAAAAATGAAATTTGGCTTTAAAAAAATTTCAAAATACCGCTCGTTAGTCGCAACAAACTTTAGCGGTTACTTCGTTTGATGACGATTTTAGTGATGGGAAAATTCTTAAAAGAGATAAATTTGGATGGTTCCCGAGAATCCATTTGCGAACCAAATGACCTTCTAGCGGAAACACTTAACGCTACGTACCGTAATTTCTTGGCAAATTCCATAAGAATATAGGTTCAGCTCAAAAAATGATATGATAATGAAATACGATAGAAATACAGGTAAGTCGCCAGCATCATACGGATTTTTGCACAGGTTTATTCCTGCGGGGAATCGAACCTCAGCATCGGCGCTCCCAATCGAGCAACAACCCACTGAGCCATTCTATCCCCTCAAAAAACACTGCAAGAATCTCGTCGAATCGCCAGATTATCTACAGGCCACTAAAGAAGATCTCATTTATTTCCACTAATGATATCATTTAAGCAAATATTTATAGGTTTCTTTACAGCAACTTTGATTAATATGTCCTTGGTTTTGCTCGAGAAGTGTTGTAAAATTTGTTACTCTAACATCATTTCAGAAAAGAATAATGCAAAAAAAAATGAACAAAAATCAAGATCATGTGGAAAATAAAAATTTTTAGAATAACGGATGAGGCGGAAGGAAAAAAACTTCAATTTGAAAATGACAAGAAATTTTTTAAAGTTAAACACGTGTTTGTTTCTTGATTGTTTTAATTAAAAAAATAAAGTTCTTTGCCCTAAAATTTATTTTAATTTCAGGGTGATAACGATAATGATAAGAAATGATATAATGAAGGAAGAGCGTGCTACAAATGAAATGGATTCGATTTCTACCACCTTGATAAAACTTCTGAATCTGATAAGACTAGATCGATCGTTAGACTCAATGGTGCTTCATGTGGAAAAAGAAATCCTAATGGCTAAAAGATCCTATGGAACCAAAGAAAATGTAGATCGTTAGAAGAAGAAAGGCAATAATATTAAAGGAAGTAACTTCGACAATTTTGCATAAAAAACAAGAAAATAGCAATAATTTAAGGAAAAAAATTTATACCACTTTAATAAAAATAATAAATATAAAATAATAATAAAAAATATGAAATTATAAAACTAATAAATATTAATAAATTAATAAAATAAATATTAAATCGCTTGAAATTAAACAAATGCTTAGAAAAGCGAAGAGAAGTGACCTTAGATTTAGATAGACAGTGAAATTGATAAATTACTCGAAGCACCGTACTCTCATCAATTACTCTATCAAACGAAATACACCGATTTATTTGCCGATTTTATTCGAGAAATATTTCCTTCATATAACTATGAGAAAATAATTATATTTATTTGAAAATGTAATATTACTTACTTATCAGAAATGGAAATAGAAAAGGCAATAAAGTAAACTATAAAAAATGATAACAAGAGAATAATTAATTAAATCATCACTGCATTAATTAATCATATCAAATGATAAATAATTATAAGACGTATGATTTGAATAGAAATTTAAAGGAAAATTTAAAAATTTTAAAGTTTTAATTTTCAAAAACTTTATGATTAAAATCCCAACTGATTAAGATAAATTATTTCATCATGAAGCAAAATTTTTCCATATAAATCGTATAAATTTATTCGTTGATATGAAGAAATAATTTTGATGGTCAAAATTTTTGAATGGCCAAGAAGAAATTCCAATTAATTTTGAGAATTTTGGGAATTCATATTTTGATAAGATTTTTATATATAATTTTGATAAGATCATGATTGAAAGTGATGACATTTGCAGGAATAAATTACGAAAATCAAGTCGTAGAAATGATGACCATTAGAAATTCAGTCAGTAAGTGATCAATCTATGTCTGTACAACATAAGTTAAACAATCTTAATTTTCCTTGCCACAGATTGCGGCTCATTAATTATTTATCATTTATCATTAGTTTTTTTCTTTTTACATCGATTCTCTACGAATAGTTCAGTGGTTCTTCGATGATCAACCTTGCAATTTTAACGTAAAAAATATGAAAACCCTAACAATATCATTTCATATTTTTCTTGGTCTCAGACTAAAACCAATGCAATATATTAAAAACAATAATAATAAAAAACTTAATTTAAACTAATTCTCCATTCTTTTTCACACCAATCTTTGATGCATGCATTTTTTACATAAAAAAAATAATGCACTTATCTTAAATAAATATTACTGATATGATAGATAATTTATAATCTATGATATGCGACGAAAAGATAGAATAGAAGCAAAATAACAAGTAAAAAATTGGGAAAATTTTGATGGGAATAAACTTCCACTTTGCATTGAAGCAAAAAATTTTTTAGCTGATCGAGAAAACAAGAAAACATCAACTTAGTACTAAAAAAAAACCAGAAATGGCATTAAGTATAAGGTAAAGCATAAAGATAAAAAAATTTGAGAATAATTTAACAAGAACTGAAAAATACCTTATTTTTGGCTTATCATTTTCCATTATCAATATTCTAACAAAATTATTCAGCTTACTTGCTGTTAAACTTGATATCAGTTAATAATTCTAATTGCCGCCCTAGTTGTTCATTGGTATCCTTAAGTCGAGCAATTGTTTTTTCGGCAGCAGCTATAGCTTCATTGAGTTCCCTGAAATTTTTTTATTTCGAACAATATTCGATATTCATGATTTATAAAATAATTTTAAACTTATGGGATCGGTATATTTTAAGTTGATTTAGCTGCTGGAAATTTACCATCTAAAAATAGAATTTCCCAGGCATTTTTAGGATATAAAGATGTGGCTGTTGCAGTGACAATAAATTTTCTTAAATCATATCGAAAATCGAAAATTTAAACCAACCCATTTCTTTTTGTCAAGAAAGCTTCTGTTTCAGAAGTGTATTTGTGGAACCTTTCACTTTCTTCAACTCTTTTTTCAATTTGCCTGAAAATCACCTTGAATACTTACTATATGCAAAAACCCTTAAAAAGTACCTTTAAAAACTTTTAAACTTTTTAAAAATCCTTGAATATTGAAACTATTTCTTGGCACAAATTAAAAAATAAAAAAATAAAATAATGATGAAGAAATAAAATGAGCATGAGCATACTTTTCAATGATCAATTTTTCTGAAGCAATAATTCCTTGATTTTCCAGTTCTCTTATCCTAAATTTTTAACAAAAGAACAGGTGAATGTTGAGTTTTTGGCAAATTTGAGATGAGAAGGTATAAAAATCAACAAGTTTCTGTATGCAAAATAAATTTCAAAAATTCAAAAGAAGACGAAATTTTACAAATAAATATATTACTGTCCCAAATTTCCAGTTCCTTGATGGATTCTCCTACCTTTAAAAATTCTACAAAAAATCGATGCAGTGAAGGGAAAAATAAGTGAATGAAACCGTTAAAAAAAACCTCAAATTTGCCGCTGCCAACGAATTCATTTGATTTTCGATTATCCTTTCAAGATTTGTTATTTTCATCTTTATTTCATCATTTTCGGCTGAAAGTCGAGTGGCATAATTGTCTCGAAAAGCACGCAATGCCTCACTCACTTTAACAAGTTCACTGAAATTAAAAAAGTTCACTACAGCGATCGAATTTGAGGTAGAAGCCTATGATATTTCTTTTCTTCTTTTTTTTCTTTAAATTCTGGAAAATGTCGGCAAATTTTTTCAGAAAAAAAGTCCCTTTAATTAATTTTTCAGAAGGCAAAAATCCAAAATTCTAAGCATTATACGAATTATTATCGGATAAAGCAAAATTATGAAATAAAGTGAAATAAAAATAAGGAAAATTAAAAGGGTTTACTTGATCGCCTCGAAACGCTGATCGACAACTTTTTCTGCACCGCTCAACTTAAATTTAAAACGATGAATGAAATGGAAAGAAAATTTAGAAATTTGAGAAAAAAAAGAATTTATAATTCTTGAAAATTTGTTGAACAATTCCAATAATAAATTTTTCAAATCTTATCAAGTAAAAGAAAAAGAATATTCCAAGATTTACAAAATAAAAGAATAATATGAAGTAAAAGTAAAAAGTCATTACCTGTATTTGAGCGATATTCTCGTCAGCGGAATCAAGCCTCGCCATAAGTTGATCAATTTCCTCTTCCTGAACTCGGATATTTTTGTCAATGTCTTCAAATTTTCGCTTTGCTTCCATAAGCCCTTTTTTGTATTCATCACGCTCCCAAGTCGTGATTTCAACATGATACTGAAGCGTTTTTATGGCTTCAGCAAGGTATATTGCTTTTTCATGACTTTCGTTTATTTCACTGCAATCCATAAAAACTATACATTCTTCTTCTTCTAACAGTTCTCACCATTACTGGTTAGGCTGGCTCCAAACTATACATTAGATTTTTTGTTACCTATTTATTATAATAAATAATCACTTTGACGCCATCCAAGCAATGAATTATGATTAATTAGATCTATAAAGTTCATAAAAGCAACTACTTCATGGCAAATATATAAATTTAACAACAAATTTTCAAAAATTTAATCCCAAATTAACCGAATGGACATTCTTCGAAAGCCTCTTTACTCAAATCAAAGATGAACAAGTCAATATATCGAATGGATCTTCATAATTTAACAGAACGAGACTTATTTACCTCTTAATTTTTATTTCTGAGTTGCTAATTGCGTCAATCAGTTTATCAAGAAGTTCTAATAAAAGTTTCTGAAAATTATTTTCAATAAGAAATCACCATAATGTAACACAATAAAAATAAATGCCATACTTTTTTCAAAAATAAAATAAATTAGAGCCAATAAAATGCCTTTGCTTCCAGAATTTAGCCAAATTCACATGAGTGAAACGTCACATCAAACAATTTTGCAATTATCTCGTTCTTTGTTTTGTTTTTAATTATATCACTGCAGCCAAACAGGTGAAGAATTTTTTTATAAAAAACTAATAGTTAAAATTAAAGAAAATGTGTCACCGTTGTCTCATCTCGGCTTTCATCCTCTTCTTTTAATTTATCACTAGCAATCTTTGAAAATGCAGTACCATCACGCAAAATAGTGATTAATTCAGACATTTTGAAAGATTCTTCCAATGTGCGATACCTATTAAAACATGAAATTTTAGATTATCAATCAAGCTCAATCAAAAATCAAGCTCGATATTTAAGGATTCTCTTCAAACAATCTCGTAGACTATAAAATTTATTTTTCGACCACAAATTTTCCATTATTCATATCCATTATTCAGATTCATCTCTACAAATAATCAATTAAGAGAAGACAAACATAAATTCCACCAGTATAAATATAAATAAATTAGATAAAACTAAGGATAATAAAAAAAATATTGCAAAATCTCAAATCATATTAGCAACAAAAAAAAAAGTTTTACCTGTTATTAGCATCACATAACCATTGTCGGTGCTCTCCAAGTTGCCATCGAGCATCATCTCTTTCCTTGTTAACTGCATCAATAATCCTATTTTTTTCATTAATTACATTCTCTAGTTCTTCTATCCGCTTCCTAGTTTGTTCAAGTTCCTCTCTCAACTGAAACACAAAAAAAATTAAATAAACTTATGAACATC